TCACAATATTGTATTTCAAAATGGATCTAGAAATGGCCTTTTTAACTATAAAAGTGACTTCATTTTTTTCCTCACATTTTCATCTCCAGAGTAGGAGATCATATGATCGTCTGATTCCAAATGTCCCAGGCCAATCCATCACATTTTGCTAATACCTAATCTCCTAAATGTGAGACAGGCAACAGTGTGAGGGAACAGCAGTAGTATGTGCTGCAAGACATCACAGAAATGACTTGTGGACTAAGCTATTATATCAAGGGGTGAGGGAGGGCTGGATCAGGTATGTGGTAGTACAAGAAATGCTGATGTACCAGGGAAAGGGAAGGGACAAGACACATGCACTTGGGTGGGGGGGAACAGTGAAAGTACTAGTTACTTCCATAAAAAATGGTTTTCATATATCATTGATTTCACATGCAAGCAAGATTCTACTGAAGATTATCCAAAAACGACTGGAACACAGAAATGGAGCAGAGAACTGTCAGAAGACCAGGCTGGGTTTAGAAGGGATCGTGGTACTAGGAATATTGTAGCTGATGTTAGATGGATCTTAGCTGAAAGCAGAGAATACCAGAAGAATGTCTATCTGTGTTTCATTGATTATGCAAAGGCGTTTGACTGTGTGGATCATAACAAACTGTGGCAAACTCTGAGAAGAATGGGAATCCCAGAACACTTGATCATGCTAATGCAAAACCTATACTTGGACCAAGAAGCCGTCATCAGAACAGAGCAGGGAAACACTGCATGGTTCAAAATTGGGAAAGGTGTACACCAGGGATGTGTCTTATTATCTCCATACCTTTTCAACCTGTGTGCAGAACAGATTATCCGGGAGGCTGGGCTCTATGAGGAGAAGTGTGGTGTCAGGATTGGTGGACGATGTATCAAAAATCTGCGTTATGCAGATGACACAACCCTGCTTGCTGAAACTGAGGAGGACCTGATGCACTTGCTGCAGAGAGTCAAGGACTGCAGCCTGCAATATGGATTGAGGCCCAATATCAAGAAGACAAAGATTCTCAACACTGGACCAACTGGCAGCATCAGGATGGATGGTGAAGAGATTGAGATTGTTAACTTTAGTTTGCTTGGATCCACAGTCAACACACTTGGCACCCGCAGCCAGGAAATCAAAAAACGTATTGCGATGGGAAAGTCTGGTGTTAGGGACCTCTCCAGGGTACTGAAGAGCAAGGTGTCACTCTGGACAAAGGTGCGTCTGATACAGGCCATGGTCTTTGCTATCACTTGTTATGCATCAGAGAGTTGACAATGATTAGGGAGGAAAGAAGGAGAATTGATGTCTTTGAGGTATGGCGCTGGAGAAGAGTATTGAATATACCATGGACTGCCAAGAAAACAAACCGATTCAGGGGCTTTGTCTGACATACTTTGGACATGTTGTAAGAAGGGGCAAGTCCTTGGAGAGGGACATCATGTTTGGGAGGGTGGAGGGATGGCGTAGGAGGAGAAGACCCTCTATGAGGTGGATTGATTCAGCGACTGGGGTAATTGGGGTGGTGTGTCAGAGGCAGTGCGATTGACACAAGGTAGAGCAGGGTTTAGGGCTGTTGTACATAGGGTCGCCATGAGTCACAAGCAACTCAATGGCACATAACAACAACAACAATGGTAAAATGCCTGTCTGACTGGTATTGTTTTAAATCCAAGCATACAAGTGAAGACAGACTAGGAAGAAAGATTGGCCATCCACTTCCAAAATATATCAGGCCTTCAAAGACCCTATGTACAGTAGAACACACTTAGAGTAGACTAACAGATATAGCAACTAAGGTAGAGCCCTCAAATTTGGAAACAAAAAGGAGGAAAAATTGTAAGCAGAAACTAATGATTAGAACATGGAATGTGAGAAGCATGATTGTAGGAAAACTGGACATTGTTAAGAAAGAAATAGTATAATGACATAATTGACATAAACAGTAATATTAAGGATGGTAAATGAATTATTTTATGAAAATCAGTTAAAAAAATAAAAAGCCCAGCATTTCAACTGATGGGAAGCCCCAGACAATCATCCTAAGCAAGTCAGCCTCTTCCTTCACATCTATGAAATATGGATAGGGATAGGGAAAGGGAAAGAGAAAGGGATAGGGATAGGGATAAGGATAGGGATAGGGAAAGGGAAAGGGAAAGGGAAAGGGAAAGGGAAAGGGATAGGGAAAGGGAAAGGGATAGGGATAGGGATAGGGATAGGGATAGGGATAGGGATAGGGATAGGGATAGTACCTGCCTGAGGATTAAGTGAGTTCTGGCATGTCACATAGTAAGAGCTTTATGTGTTTATTAAATAAAAAGGCTGAGATGTTCTGGAGTAGATCCCTAAGTCACTTGCTTAGAAATAACCAGCATCAAATCATTTTGGGTCTGAATCTTACCTCCACCACTCTCTAGATGTAAACCATAAGCAAATTACTTACTTTCTCCAAGCTTTGGTCTACTGGCCTATGACATAGTGATGGTGCTGGTGTCCACAGCAGTGTAAGGAATAAACAGGAAGTGAAGTGCTTGAAAATGTGCTTGAAGCACAATCAGCATATAATAAAAAAAATTATGAGAGTTCTGGTGGCTTAGTAGTTAGGAGTTGTGTCGCCAAACCAAAGGTATGTGATTCAAATCTATTACCTGACAGGAGGCTGGGCTCTATGAGGAAAAGTGTGGTATCAGGATTGGTGGAAGATCTATCAACAATCTGCATTATGCAGATGACATAACCCTGTTTGCTGAAACTGAGGAGAACCTGAAGCGCTTGCTTCAGAGGTTCAAGGACTGCCGCCTCCAATATGGATTGATGCTCAATATCAAGAAGACAAAGAAGGAGAATTGATGCCTTTGAGCTGTGGTGCTGGAGAAGAGTATTGAGGGTACCATGGACTGCTAGGAAAACAAACAGATTCATCCTGGAAAAGGTTAAACCAGGCACCTCCTTGAAGGCAAGGATTCTGACGTTTTGTCTAACATAGTTTGGACATCTTGTAAGGAGGGACCAGTCCTTGGAGAGAGACATCATGCTTGGTAGGGTGGAGGGACAGCGCAGGAGGGGAAGGCCCTCTAGGAGGTGGATTGATTCAGTGACTGGGGTAATTGGGATGGCTGTGTCAGAGACAGTGTGATTGGCACAGGACAGAGCAGAATTTAGGGCTGTTGTACATAGAGTCGCTATGAATTACAAATAACTCGACGGAACACAACAACAACAACAACATGGGAGAAAGATAGGCAGTCTCCTCCTATGCGATTTCTAGTGGGTAAAAACCTACTGAAGCATCAGGTCTGAGTCAGTTCTGGTTCAAATACACAAAACAACAACATAAGCAAGGGGCACAGTGGGCAACTCCAACGTTCAGTGCTGTGAAGTAAGGATCAGCATTAATACAATTCCCAAAGTGAGATGGATTCGACCTCACCTTCTCCTTCACTGTCTTTTGCCACTCTCTCATACAGAGCTGGGTCAGGGCTCACAAACTATACATCATCTTTCAGACCATCTTTTAGTAACAGAGCATTTTCTGATCTGGGCTCAGTCAGTGCTCATGTTTTGGACACTCACTTACAGATGGTCAGACAGGTTGCTGGTTCTCACTGCCCCCATGAATTGTCAATTCAGTACAAAGACTCAGAGTCCATCATATGTATGATCACAACTTGGTTGTAATAGAAAAGGATATAAGGAGACAGGGCATGAAGTGTGAGAGGGATCATGTGTACCAGGAGGGAAGTGCCACCCTCTTTAGCACACGGTGGTTAGCCAGGAAATTGCTGTGTGCTTGGGTCTCTGAGTCCCCTGCCCACATGGCCATGGTGGACTACATTAGGCCTTATGATATTCAGCCACCACTGGATTCTCAGGTTTGGGCTCCTCTTGGACTGCTGAGGCCTGAGTCATTAACCTCATGAGCTGGTATGGCTACAAAGATAAGGAAAAAGACAAACTGATTAGTGTAAGATGAATAATTTGCAGATACTTATTAGCAAGTGGTGGACCTAAACACAGGCTTGCCAAGCTTTGTCACCTCCAACCATGCCCACCACCATTCCCAACAGAAATGCGTGTCACCTATCAGATGTTCTTGTTTAAAATCTTTTACTTAGATTTGGATTTTCACTTCTTTAATATTTTTTGGTCCTTATCTTTGGACTATTTGGAGCAGTTTTTTCTAAAAACAACACCAACAATAGTCAAAGCAAGTGAATTGGGAGCCAGGTACAAATGGAACTGCTCGACTAAGTCATAAAGACTAGTGTGACCACTGCCTGTTTAACTCTCGATTAAGTGAAACAGATCCTTCCCGATTCATATTTTATTAGAAAGTCATATCAAAGACTCAATCGCCCCTTGTTGTGTACTGTAGAGGCAGTACCAACCCACAGCTGACTCTCTGGTGGGTTTTCAGAGGTAGTTAATTGCACGGAAGAAGTTTACCCTCCTTCTCTCATGGAGCAGCTAGTGGATTAGAACTGTGTTGGGATTGCAGCACAGTTCCTAGACAGATAACGGCTATAAAATAGATGATTAATCTAGGAAGATCAGACTTCTCAAAAAGAGCAAAAGCAAAAGAAATTTTTTTGTATTAATTTAGTTTGTTTATTTTTCATTTCATTTTAAAAAATATCTAATGGTCATAACAAAGGAAACAACTTCAAAAACAACTCAGACTTTGAACAAATATTAACACCAAGAAACAGCTGGACAGATGAGGATGTAAAAGTGTCAGTTTTAAAATCTGCAAGATAAACTGAAATGTCATCTTTTATTAAAATATATTTGTCTCTACTATATACACACAAATTACATATATATGTGCATATTTTAATAAATATATATCATGTATTTTTAGTGATGACTTACTTGACAACATCCATCTACAGCTCTGGGCTGTGGGTTTACTTGGTATAGACACAATACACATATATCGAGTGTACACAGATTCTCCTAAGGCAGAAGGATTCATTCTTGGAATGTCTTTTCTCAGTTCTTATCACATCAGGACTTCCGAGTCCTCTGAAGAAGTGTCAGCAAATAAAAGTTCATCTGGAGATGTGCTCCCCAAGGGCAGTGTGCTGGAATTGGACCAAGTGGCCCCATTCCTTACAGGCCTGTCCTCTGGTAAAATGTTCTCCTTTGCAAAGGTCATTGTCGCAGGGGTAGCAGAAGTCAGCCCACCCCATTCCTCACTGCCCCCGTTCAGGACGTACCTTCCTTCATGAGGTTTGTTCTCATGAACTTCTGCTATGACCACACTGACTGCTGCTTGAGGCGAACAAGAAGCAATTATAGAGTCTGGATCAATGTTCATGTCCAGCTGAGCAAAGGGAGGGCCCTCGGCCAGGCCCTCACAGCTCCCCAGCAACTGTGTGTTGATATAAATGACATCTGCTTTGTCCTGAACATCAGGCAAACTTTCTAAGAGCTTTTCCAGCTGCAGCCTCAACCCTGAAAAGGTGGGTCGGTCCAAAGGATCAGCTCTCCAGCAAGAGTACATTATTTCATATCTAAAAGAAAAGACAGCCAGTTATCCCTAGGTACAAGCTATAGCCCATATAGATACCTTCAGGCCATCACCCCTTTGGTTCTAATCAAATCTTTATTTTTATTGCATTATAATCAGTGTTAGATCTATAGTGAATATGTGTGTGTGTGTGTGTGTGTGTGTGTGTGTGTGTGTGTGTGTGACTTACTGAGGTTTTCTCTGTGGCCTTATATACACTCAGCTTTTATAAACATCCCCTAAGTATTTGACAAGAAAATAATGCTCTGTTTCCAGGAATGTGGCTACTATATCTCCTTTGCAAAAGTGTCTTTAAGGGCTTTTACTTTATATTAAGTATTGGAAATTGTGGTCTATGTACTAAAGCAGGCCCTCTGTGGGTCTATAAATAAAGCTTTATGGGTTCAAAGATACATTTATTCATTTAAGGTTGGTTTTGTTTTTTTGCTTTTTAAAATGGTTGCTTTGGTTACAATGGTAGATAAGTAGTTGCTACAGAAACCCCAGCCCACAAAGCCAAATAGATTTACTATTTGGCTTTTTATGGAGTTTGCCAACCCCGGTTCTACACTGTCAAAGTGGGCTGTCACCAAGAGAGTAGTTAGAAGGGTATAACTGAACTGGGGGGTCTGAGAAAAAGAGTAAGTTATATCATAATTTAATATTGAGCATTTTCTGTTTTAAGATATTGATACTGATGACACTGGGTAAGAATATGACCCAAATTTAAATGCTCTGGCACATAAAGTAGATTACTGATATTTTATAAAGGTACAATCCCATATTTACATGTAATTTTGTCATGTACCTTCCTTGGATAATTCTTCTACAAAGCCATGGCACTTCGTATACAATGTACTACTCTCATTTCATGTTGTTGTTGTTGTTGTTGTTATGTACTGTGGAGTCAGTGACTCTTAGCAACCCTATGTACAACAGCTCTGAAGCCTGCTCTGTCCTGAGCAAGTCCCACTGAATCTAATACACCTAGTCCTATCTCATCTGGGGTCTTCCTCTCCTGCGCGGTCCCTCCACCCTTCTGAGTATGATGTCCTTCTCCAAAGACTGCTCTCTCCTGCCACATGCCTAAAGTTCATGAGACTGAGTTTCAAAATCCTAGCCTAAATAAATAATGTAAAATAGAATGTATATGAATATATAAAACACAAAATAAATGAAAGATTGTATAAAACACTGTACATGAATGAAGCATACAGTAAATAAAAAATTTTAGTCTCCAAAGAGAAACTTGGATTCAACCTCTCCAAGAAAGACCATTTTGCTTTCTTGGTAGTATATGGTTATTCCAAGGCATCAATTCTTCTTCTTTCATCCTTAGTCACTGTCCAGCTCTCTGATGCACAGCAAGCAATTGCAAAGACCATTGCTTGGATCAGCCACACCTTAGTCTCTAAAATGATATTGTTGCTTCTCAGTACCCTGGAGAAGTCCATGACAGCAGATATCCCCCATGTAATCATCTTTTGATTTCCTGACAGAGATTCCAAGAGAGTTGCTTGTAGAGCCAAGCAAACGATAATTGTTAACAACCTCAATCTCTTCTCTGTCTATCATGATGCTGCCAACTGGCCCAGTGGTGAGAATCTTTGTCTTCTTGATGTTAAGTTTTAATCCATATTTAACACTACTGTCCTCGACATTCTACAGTAAGCATTTCAGGTCCCCCTCAGTTTCAGCAAGCAAAAAATGTTATTTGGCAAATAATTTTTGTTTCTCTTTTTGTGGTTCATGGTACAAATCGATTTTCAAAATTTCCTCTTGTCCCCTTCACAAAGTCTTTGACTGTTTGCAGTCTGAGATGAGCTCTGAGAGCATCTGTCCTTGGGGATATAACCTCTTTTCAATAGTGCATCAAGGCACTGTTTTTTTCACTTATCCCATGTCTTGGTAGAAAATGTTTAATCTTTTTGTTTCTCTACACTGAATAATAGCAGTATCATCTTCAAATTCATTTTTCCTTTATTTGAAGCACATTGTAAAATTTATAAATACCATATTTATGCAAATAATATGTGTTAGATGGCTTTAGCAATCGACACAATTTCATGAGTTAGTTTCCTATGCACACTACATATGCTATATGCATATATTCCATATTAACATGGGCATGTTATATGAGAAAACAATTAGTATGACTTTCAAAGGCACAGTAAGCATGTGCACCATCTAACCCAACCACATAAAAAGGCCATTCTATAGCAGTGGACTGAGGAGAACTAGAGGCCCTATTCCTGATGAATGATGTGGGAGGCGATTGTAATGTTTAGTGGTTTAAATTTTATAGATGGAAAGAAAAATAATTTTAGTAGTTGGTGTAGACAAAGGGTTATTTGTGTTTTTCTGGAAAGATTTTATAGGCAATGCAGTCATATACAGTCACTGACAGTGCCTTCTACCTGTACTTGTCAAGCCTCTGCTTTGCTCTTGACTCTGACGATGGCTGAGAGCTTCAAGTCGGTTCAGAGAAAGGATCCTCCTTCCCTCAGTTGCACATGTGTCTCTACAGAGCTCAGCCAGGATTCACTTGGCCAATTTTTACTCTCTTCCTTCTGGGGGCCCTGGGCTGCCTCACTATAGGTGAAGGCAGGTATCCTGAGAAGGGAGAAGCACTAGAAGCTGGGATGCCGAGGAGAAAAAACTCGCAGACATGAGTCGGGGACAGCTCAGTATCAGCTGTGACTCCAGGTTCTTACATTCAAAGTGCAGATTCAGTGTGGGGTGAAACACATGCACATGCAGACTTCTCTTTTAAACGTTTTTCTTAGTCTTTTTTTATATATTGCTTCCCCCATCTGCAGTGGCTGCGACCTGAAGAAAGGCAGAGAGTGAGTTTGCAAAGGGAGTTTTAAGTATTCAGTGTGGAGGTTCATCAGATACATGAATATGGGTGAGTCCTCTGATGAGAGAGTGGCACGTGATCCCCAGGGTGGGGAGGCCTAGAGAGGACCCCTGATTCTGAGTGGAAAACACATTCACAGCATATGTTAAAAGCATGTGGGGCCACTGTACCTTTATCATTTACCTCCCCTGAGTTCTGAGAAGGAAAAAGTGCAGTCACACTTACAGATGGAGGAAGTGAGGATGGAAGTTACAGATGGAGAGGAGAGAGACTGACAGAAGCCATCTGGCCAAAGCCATCTGACACCAGCTCCTCATTCTCACCCATGGCTTCTGTTATGGATTTAACCATGATACCAACACCACTCCACCTCAAAATATATCAGAATATGTCAGAATACCAACCACGCCTATATCTATGAATATAATCCTTTTTGGGAGCAGGACTTTCTTTGCTCTTTATCACTGTGGGTATATCTTAGAGCTAATCACCTTTGAGATATAAAAAGGCTGGTGAGGTATAGAAACAAGCAAGAACAGAGAGAGGAGAGAGATGCCAAGCCATGGTAAGACTGTCAAGAAAATGAGGGACAAAAAGGAGACAAGAACATACCTCCAGCTCCAGCAGACAAACATCCTCTGTCTACAGAGCTCTAGTGGCCTAGTCTATAGGGAGTTGTGCTGCCAACCCAAAGGTGGCACACCTCTGGCCAACCCACCAGGTGCCTCTCAGGCAGTCTGAATCCACCAGTAGCTCCACAAAAGAAAGATAAAAAATCTCCTCCCAATCAACCTACAGCTATGTGGGTGAGCTATGAATCAGTTCTAACTCCATGGCAGTGAGTTTGAGAAATATACTTTAACCTACCCTTAGTTTGGATTTCTACCTTTTTAAGGTTGTAGGGGGAGGGAAATAACTGTTCAGTAAAGCCACACCCATCTATTTCTGTCACAACACAAGGAAACTAAGATGGACTTCCATTTCCTCACTAGAAATAATAACTGGCAATATTTTATGTTACTATCATCTATGGCATGCCTCTAAAACTCTATGAATTTTGAGAAATAACGATAGTTACAGAAAGGTCTTTTGTTCATAGGGTTGCTATGACTTGTGCTAAACTCCATGGAAATTAACAAAAACAACAACATCATCCATGAAGAACGCAAAAGGTCATTACAAAGACAGAGGAGGAAAAAAAGGCCAAGACGAAGGTCAAAAGAGACTTTGAATATTATTCTAGAGCCCCAAGAAGCTAAAACAAAGGGAAGAAATTAAGAAATTAGGGAGCTTAAAAGAAGATTTCAAAGAGCAGCGCAGGAAGACAAAGTAATGTATGATAATGAAATGTGCAAAGAGTTAGAAGCAGAAAGTCAAAAGGGCCAAACTCCCTCGGCATTTCTTAAGCTGAAGGAACTGAGAACAAATTCAAGTGTCAAGTAACAATACTTACAGATGCACTGGGCAGAATATTAAATTAGTCAGGAGGCATTAAAGGAAATTGGAAAAACAAACCAATAGAAAATAAAAATTTATTTTAAAAAAATTGGAAGGAGTATAAACAGTCACTGTATCTAAAGGAATTGGGTAACACATAAGAATTTCAATAACATATGAGCAAGAGCCTGTGATAATGAAGGAAGGCATTCAAGAAGCCATGAAGGAATTGGGAAAAACAAAGCCCCAGGAATTGATGGCATACCAATTGACATATTTCAACAAACTGACTCTACTCTGAAAGCTCTTTACCAAGATGTGCCAAGTAATCTGGAGGACAAGTATCTGGCCAACCATTCCAAAGAAAGGTGACCCAACAGAGTGCAGAAATTATCGAACAAAATTATTAATATTACACGCAAGCAAGATGCTCAAGGGCATCAATTCTCCTTCTATCCTCCCTAGT